CCCCTAAGGATACTTTCTTCATGCCGCCGAGCCTGGCACCAAACGAAAGCTCGACCGCTCGATCGATTGGAAACATTACCCGTTGAATTCAATATGTTAATTTTGCGTAAAACGCTTTTCTCACTCCAATGTTGCATAGTCTCCGGCATTAAACTTGGACCGGCTTCGAACAACATCATACAGCTGACATTATCATGAGAAACTATTACGTAATCAGTCAACTGTAGAATGCAGACTGAGGGTAAGATGCTGAAGATGCAGACCGAAATGTAGACTGCAAACCGGAGTAAAATGCAGACTGAGGGTAAAATTCAAACTGCAGACCAGAGTAAAGTGCAGACTGAGACTAAAATGTAGACTGCAGACTATAGACTTTTCAATTAGGTATCGTGTTATTATTACGTGCTAACCGTAAGTATAGGGTATTCAGGGTAATTGCAGTAAAAATATGCATTTCAGTTAGAGCGAACAGCGCTCCGGTTAGCCTGTTTACCCCGTTTAGCCTGTTTACCGGTTAGATCTCAAGGATGAAAATGGTGACACGTATATGGATAAAAATGTGCAGTTTGTAGTCTTCATTTCACTCTCAGTCTGCATTTTGCAGTGAGCAGTCCACAGTTTGCGTTTTACACTAAATTACGTAATCGACATCAGAACAAGAACACTTGAAAAGCAAAGTATGCCAGGCCAAGGGCCATAACAATATTGCAAGCTTAAGGGAGTTTTATGAAGCTCTATTCATATTTACTCACTCGGCATGATAAATCAAGCGGTAAGAAGACCCATTGTTTTACCAGGTAAGCTTATGTCTATAATTATCTCTCCACAATAAGTCCAATGGCGTGCTATATGCTTAAAATGTCCACAGTAATGGTTGACCTTAAAAAATTGAACAACTGAATGCAAATTTCCATTGATAACCCCTCTGAGAGTGCATGTTGCCTAAAACATTATTTCCTTGCAAAAATTTGGCAAATTTAGGTTTTCGTATTTTCATGAGTATGTAAGGGATCCTTATGAAACTTGAGTTGCGCAGATGTAATTTGATCTACGAACTAAGTTAACCATTTTGTTTACGTGGAAAATACGCAAAGTTCTAGGTCCAATATCGGCTAAAATCGTCATAACACCAGCGTAGTCATGCATAAAATGTTTTTGTTAATTAAATTAACTAAGAAGCCCACTAAATGTGTGAAATAACGAGAATGGATCCACATCATGATCCCCTAACCGAACTCGATCAATATAACTACAGCGACGGATGTAAGAGGCCGATATTCGCTTGAAAAACGACCAATACATGTATACATTTTTTTTTCTTTTTAATACTTACTAAGGAGGAGTGGGCTAACTCCTAGGTAGCACTTGCTGATATATCTAGATGGGCTGCTTTAGTGACCCAAGTCTTCCTCGAGGGTACTTCATTGTCCGTAACTGTGAGACCTTGTCAGTGCAATAAGGCTGGATGGACATATCAAAATTATTTCACGGATATTACACATAACATGCGTTCCATTCCCTCTCTCCCTTACCATTTCGTCCGCTAAAAGACAAAGACCATTAATCTCGATTATTCATCGCTGTCGGTAGGGTATTCGAAGGAATGACTTACCATTTTTTAGCCCCGGGGGACGTACTCTGATATACTGGCTATATATGTATGTGCGGAGGTTTTTGAGGTTCCCGATTAACTTCGTGTAGAGTGAACTTCCGCCCCCGCCCCCGCCCCCCGCCCCCCTCTCCCTCTCCGGGCTTTTAGCCAACTGTCAATCAGGCTTTAGATCACTTAACCGCAGACGTTATCAATATAGATAATAGTTGAAGAAGTGTATTATTGGATGTATCATTCTATCTGTGTTATTTGTGTCGTTTGATTAAGCCAGTAGTAACTGCTAAAGAGTAATTCCACATGTGACTTTCGGGTTTCCATTTTGAAGACGTTTGAAAGGCCTCCATTTTGACTGATGATGTTTATCCCAGACCGCTGCGTTACAACTTATTTTACATGAGGGTGAGGGTCGGGATTTCAGAGCTTTAAACAGAGTTACCTTTCTTTGTTTGAATTTTAAGCCACAAAGACCTTGTTAGTGTGTAGTATTTTATCGCTTTACCTAAGAAAGGAGGCCCTGAATTAGAACTAACATCGAGGTATTGGAAAAATTCTAACGCTTTTTCTTTCGGAAACAATCCCCACTCTACCCCTACCCTGCGTGCAAAGACTTTTGCTGAACAATATGCAAATAAGAGATGCGGAGCGATCGACGATGGCGGCGTATTTGTTATTGCTAATCACTAGGGATTTCTGCCTGAAAGCAGGTTGAATGATTGTACCGAACAACAAAACGGAAAACGTTGGAATATTTACATAGGAACTTGGCAATACTGAGTGATTTGGGGGATTCAAATTCACCTAACGAATGCTTACAGGTTATGGAAAGCTAATAGAATACAGTGTGGGGCCCAGTTCTCGGCCACTTTTTGTTCAGCGTTTATTTTTCGCGCCACAAGTGAATCTGAATAAAAAGCAATTGTTTCCAAAGGTAGCTTGATTCCTTGTTTTCCGTTCTGCCAAGTTTTGTTTCGTCCTGCCGAGTTTTTCTTTGAGCACGTCGAGATGACGCGAAGGTAGGTGAATTTGGTTTCCCCGAAAACGTGTTTGTTTACGGCTACTACAATTTTGGAGAACACTCTGGTTTTGTTTACCGTCAAATAATTAGATTAATCCAATATTCTTGAAACTGTCCTGTTTTAGACAAGGAATAGTTCTGCAATAAGCTGTTTGTATCACAACTTTTCTGCGCTCAATGGTTGTGAAATGCGAATCGAATGAAAATGGTCGATTTTCAGCCGATTTTCAGCCTAGTTGGGACTCGCTAAATTGCATGAAATTGAGTCTGAAGGTTAAATCGAAAATGTCGTTTTTCTCGGAAAGACAAAGCTATTTCAAGGGAAAAAACTACAGCCTGTTTGCACTCTTGCTAGGGGTTAGCTATATGCAAAAGACGAATAAATTTGAATTTTCTAGCCTTCCCGAAGAAATTTGATTTTGTTTGATTTTTTGTGGGAATTTGGTCTTAAATGTTATTCAGTGAATTATCAGTAAGGTAGAAAGAGGTTTTTTTTTTTTTTTCGAGTGGGACGCAAACTGTATATAGACTTCTAGCACTGAGAAGCTTCAATACTGCAAAGGTAAAGGATAATTTTTCAGAGTTACACCACAGGAAGTAATTTCTTTTCTGTGTTTATTTGCACAGCAAGCCACTCGTGACCTCGCGTAAGCACATTTCACACTCACGAGGGTTATTAAACGGAAACGATAAATACAACACTAGAGAAAGCTAAAGTTAATTGTATGACTCATGTCATATTGAGTTAAATAAGGAAACCGATCGACGTGACGCAACTTCCCGGACTTGAGTCTAGTTCCTTGTGCGCTTCAACAACTTCCCATATAAGTGCCAGGTAACTCAACGGCTAGATTCAAGTTATTGACAACCAGCAACTGAGGGCAAGATGACTGTTCCTCTGTATCTGTTCTTTCTACATTTAGTTGCGCTGCAAACCTCTGCTGACCTCGCTATAGAGCATTCCTTTTTTGCTGCTCTGGATGAAGATCAAAATGTGAATCTCTACTGGAATGTTAGCACTGAAGAAAAAGAGATATATTTCACGATAGAAGCTAAAACGACTGGATGGATCGGGTTTGGAATCTCCAGTGGACAAGGCAAGATGGAAGGAGCTGATATTGTAATAGGCTGGGTGAAAGATGGCAAAACTTACTTTAAGGTGAGTAAATGTATGCTGGTATGAGGAAAAACAAAAACGGAAAATTGGCCATTACAAAATACTACTGCGACTTCTTTGAAAACTTTCGAACGGTTCGCCCAAACTTCTATGCATGGTTCAACGCCGGTTAACAATATTTTCACGTACTGATTGATACAATAACAAACACGAAGCTTGCCTTACTCCTTAATATAACGCGAAGATTTAATTTCAGGTGTCAGTATTTACTTGCGTGGCGTGTATGACAAGGAGGGTTGTTGAATGCTCCCGAACTGAGTTTGATGATCTAAGAGCTAAGGTGGCGAACGAGCCGAGACTCAGAAAGTCATTTGGCGAGAGACGTAACGTTCTAGGCCTTATCAATAGACTAGTCTCTTGGCTTTATAGCCGGGAGCTGTAAATGTTGTCGGATCGACTCGACCCGT